CTTCCTCGCAGGACATTCTGAACAAGTGGTCTGGACGAAAAGAAGCGTGGAGGATCGGATCAAAATAGTGAATTCAAAAAAATAAAAGGACCGGATAACCCCACATGATAAGTTTTACAAATTTCAACTGTATATGAACATCACTTGGGAGACGGAGCAGTGAGATGAAAAGTCAAGAAGGAAGTGTGAGGCGGTTATGCTCAGACGTGCAGTATAAGTGATGATGTGATGGACGAGGATGAGAAGGAGGGGAGGGAGGAGGTGTGTGTGTGTAGTGAGAGGGCGTGCGTGTGTGTGTGTGTGTGGGTGAGGCTGTGGATTTTGCCATCAGATCCGCATGCGACCTTCAAAACGTAACGCACTCGAAACGACCATCAAAGCTATCAAGTGGTCTCATCCCGACCACGGCGGGCAGTGTTAGCAGGATGTAAAGCAAGAAGAGGTGAGACACGCTTTTTTCTCTCATGCAGAGATGTAGAGTGAGCTCCAGGCAGAGCTCCGGTCAACTCGCACGAACAGTGAGTATATATTTGCAACACTGAAGACGGAGGCTAGCACAAAACATCAGAAGTGTCGATGTCAGAAACGAACTTGGTCAGTGTCAATTCTTTTGAGAAACGAACTCCGTCAGTCGTTATGCAACGCAAGGCAGCGTTGTTTTCGACTCTTTTCGCAGCAGTGTATCCTCACAGTCTGTCCAGCTCGTCACGTCGACTCGCCGGCATGCTAGCTCACAGTTCTTGAACTGCAGCAAAAATGCGAGGTCTTACAAAAGAATTTAGGTTCTTCTCCCAAGTACGCAATGCCCAGAAGACATGCGGCCGATGCTTCCAGGGGTGAAGCGTGGGACGGGCCGTCAACAAGCTCTGCACAGCCGCTTCCGCGGAGAGCTGACGGCGAAAGATCAACCACGCGCAATGATAGAGGCCGAAATGGTGAATAAGAATGAACATGTTGACACCAACCCCATTCACACGCACATTCGGTGTTGATCACTGTACCGATCATCTTTCTGAGCAGCTTAAGTTCCATAGTGCATTCTATAACGTCCTGCACGTCAGCAACAACGAAACACTCAAATCTGATAACGAGCAGCCAGTCACATCAAGCCACGGGTTCAGGTGCAACACAAAACATAAATCCACCGAGTCCTTCCTAAATCCACCGAGTCCTTCCTTCCGACAACATGATGTCACCTGTCACTCAAACAATTCTTCGCTGACAACTCATATTCGCAGACACACCACGACAACGCTCTCACAGCAGCTTTTTGTTCCCATACAATTGCAAGAGACACAGTGAAGAGCGCGACAGTCGCAAGCATTCGATATCTATATACATATACATAATCAAAGCCAACAAACAAAAACAGAGATCAGTACCCGCAAATACATCCACTTACCTTCAGTATTCCTATCGCGCTTCCGGCATCCCCCAGGCACGTTGTGTGAAGAAGATAGCTGAGATTCAAACCGCGCAGGGCCTCACAACAAAACCAAAACAAAACCAAAAGGACCGCGCTAAGATATTTTCCCGTAGGTCATAAACACTCACTGTTGCGTGTATAAACATAGCAATACCGGATTTTGTTCCACACAACGCCTGTCGCTTATCATTTCGTTCGTCGCGTCGACTCACAAAACGACTCACGTCAGCTTTCATGGGGTTGTTTGTTCTTCCTGCGCGCAACGAACCCAAAAACCAGCAAACAAGCGCGAAAAACGACAGAACGAAGAAAGCAAACATTTTTCAATTAACAGTTAATTCTGTCCAGCACGCGGCTGACACGTGACCAGAGCATAGGAACCTCTTCTTGCCACCAATTGCCTTGACACAAGACATGACTACACCAGTTCTTCATTCTAATGTTTGCATTCAAAACGTCGATGACGAGTTGCTTCTGACCACGAAGCACCAGTTCTTCACAACATGAATGCATTTGCAAGCATTGATCAGCACCAGAGCTTCGCCGCTGCTACCGTTGGACAGCTTGGACATCAAATCCTTCACGCCTCTGTGATGAGAGAGCGGCTGCAATTCCTGCAGTATATCTTCACGAACTTCATCCGGAGACAATCCCGCCCACTTGCCAAAGCATTTGCTGTAGGGTCCATTCCTTACGCGCCAGGAGACATAATTTTGGGGTTTCGGTCTTCCAACTTCATGATTTAGTCAAAAATCCATGACTGGCTCTCCACTTCGCCGTCATCCATCAGGCCGCCACCCAATCGTCCAAGCTGTCTCAAGCTTTCAGCAATATGAGGTAACATCAGCTTGTGCGCAGGACATTTGAGAGCAAAAAGCCTGAGCGAAATCCAAACGCAAAAGTCACAAACATCATATATTCTCTACCTAACAATCCGATACAGCCAAAACACATATCCACGTCCACTTTCCAGTCTTCGGAATCCTTCTCCCCGTCGTCCCGAGATCCGGGAACAGTAAAGATGCGTTCCAAACTGCCATCCAAGAATTGGCGCGCAAATACGAAAACATTTTCCAGTTTCGTTGCTGCGGCATCTCGATTGGGACGCAAGTGCCAGACCTGCGTGGGCGATGTCATTGCTTCAATTCCCTATGTCCTGGTCACTATTGTGATTTGCACAGCCAGGGCAATCAATGCCTGCGTCAGTTCTTCCATGCATGTCCGCAACTGCCCTTTCCGAAATTTTTGGGACAAATCCCTGCGCAGAGGCTGACATGCGACCATGCACTGAACCACAGCGTTCAAATAGCACGAATTGCCCAGATTTCGCAGGCCAGTCTGGCAAAACCGATCTTCCAAACCAAAAGTGTCACGAGGGCGACTGCCGTAGTCCAGCCTCAGATGCACACCTTTCTCCCACAACCATTCCGCAGAAGCTTGCTGAGCAAAATGCTCCATCTCCAGATGGTCCTTCACTAGCAGCTTTGCCGCATCGAACAGCGCATCTTGTTCTGAACCCTTTGTCACACGACGCATTCGCGTCTTCAATGCCCTGGAAACCCCTGCCATTTCCGAGGTGGAACCCTGTCTCAGCCAGTACGACATGGCTTCAAGCACTGCCTTCTCCAAAGACATTTCTGGCAATCCACTCTCCTCCTTCAATCTTGTTTCCGCAGCTTGCAATGCTGGAATGGTAATGTCACCAGCTGCCAACAAAGTCTTGGCATCCTCCAATGCTTCAGATCTCATTGTTCGACGGGGTCCAAAGTACGTATGCCCTTGCTTCTTCACACGCGCACGAAAACTGTCTTTGCACTTTTCGATGCACTCTTCTACTCGGGCTGCTCTGGCATCAACTTCCATGGACGCAAACAACTGCTTGATGACTGCTCCCATGTCAGCGCCTGCAGCGCGCGCAGCTTCCAGCTTTCGCTGATCTGCTTCGGCCGCTGCCAACAGCTGTCGCGATGGACCCAACTGTCGCCCACCAGCAACTTTAATCCGTGCCCTATAAACGGCGCCATGCTTTTCCACACCCATGGCTGGGCGAGGCGCGGTTGGACAAAATGTAGCACATATATCTATGTATCGCATGTACATATCCCGCACTGTCTCCTGGGAGGATGTTTCTTAGATCATATTAGATTTTCTTAGCTTTTCAATGATATCTGCTGTATTTGCTACAAAACAAATGTTCCGCAACCAGAAAACAAAAGATGCCAAAAATGCCAATGGCAATAGCTCAGGTTGCGTCGCTAGTTAGCATGCAACATCCACAACACATAAAATTTGAGACATAAAATCTGAGATCAAAGAAAGCCAAACAGACAAAAATTTGTTGGACGAAATTTGACACTAGTTCGTTGCTTCGCTGTAAGCCGTCTGCAGTCAGTCTGACGGGCACTCTCGCTCTGGCACTGCACTGTGCGTGAGTCTTATCGTCTCCAAAACACAAGCAGTCTTGCTGTCTTGAGTTAGTCATTGCCACTTGAGTCACGTAAAGTACATATCCAAACATGCCGCAGTGACTTGTCAGCACTCGTCAGCAAAAAGACCTAAACAACAACACATTCTTCTTTGTGACCAAAGCACATCTGTTCTAGACGTTATCCCTATACATGTATAGACTTGGAAGTTCAACCAAGTTCGTCACGTCCACTGATCTTCAAAATCGTGCAAAAATGTTGAGGCCGTGGCATGGTGACTTGTCAGCAGACGAACCTCAGCAGGCAGCTTTTGATAATCTCACTCTACAAACCAAAACCAGCTAGAAGTTCAGCACAAAAATGAAAAACTCCACCATCATCATCAACCAAAAAGGCCCAGACCTTGTAACCTGGGTCTCCGCGACAATCCGAAACAGCTGCGAGTGCAATCGGCTGCGAACGCAACCGACACAGCGGCGGGTCAAATCAGTGCTTTTGAACATGTCATCAAAACATGTCAGGTACACAATGGCTGTGGAAATCACAATGTGCGTGGCGCACAGAGACGCAGCCGCAATCATGAGAACGCAGTGATAACACTGGCCACGTAAATCATAATGGACGTAGCGCGGAGACGGGCCTCATAAACGCCCTCGCCGCAGCATTTACACTGCGCTTAGCATACAGTGAGAACCATTGCTTTGCAAAACACAAATGATAAGTTTTACAAATTTCAATTGTATATGAACATCACATGGGAGACGGAGTAGTGAGATGAAAAGTCAAGAACGAAGTGTGAGGAGAGAAGGTATATGAGGCGGTTGTGCTAAGACGTGTAGTATAAGAGATGATGTGATGGACGAGGATGAGAAGGAGGGGAGGGAGGAGGTGTGTGTGTGTGTGTGGTAAGATGGCGTGCGTGTGTGTGTGTGGGTGTGTGATAAAGTGTCTGATGATGTGATGAACAAGGATGAGAGGGACGAGAGAGAGAGAGAGAAGGAGGCGGAGAGAGAAGTTTGGAGGCTCTGGATTTTGCGATCAGATCCGCATGAGACCTTCACAGATGTTGGCCAGATCCGCATCAGATCCGCAAATGCAATCGGCATTTCACAGATGTTGAAAAGAAACATGTCATGAAAACATGTAAGTAAGTGAATCAAAACATGTCTGCTGCAACCACGTGAGTTTTGTGATGACAACCATGGCCAGAGAACTTTCAAAACAAGATTCAGAACGGTCGCGCAGGCTAAACTAGAGAACTGCAAATCACAATGGCAGTAGCGCAGAGACAGGCTTCACCTACGCCCTCGCCGCAGCATTTACAATGCGATTCGCAGGCATTGATTGCCCTGGCTGTGCAAATCACAATGGCAGTAGCGCACAAACACACTCTGCCAACTTCCGTGCCGCAGCCATTACAATACGCTTCCGAACCAGTGAGAACCCTTGCTGTGGAAATCACAATGGCAGTAGCGCACAGAGACATGTTGCAAACATCCGTGCCGCAGCCATTACAATGCGATTCCGAACCAGTGAGAACCCTTGCTGCGCAAATCACAATGGCAGTAGCGCACAATCACAATGGCAGCCCCTTCTGGAGGCTCTGGATACTGCGCCTTCCACGCGGAAGCCAGCGGCACCAGCGGCGACAACGCGCGCCACAGCCGATACTGCGCCTGCCACGCGGAAGACAGCCAGCGGCACCAGCGGCGACAACGCGCGCCACAGCCCCTTCTGCAGGCTCTGGGTACTGCGCCTGCCACGAGGACAGCCAGCGGCACCAGCGGCGACAACGCGCGCCGCAGCCCCTTCTGGAGGCTCTGG